AGGCTATTGAGTCGTGTATCTTGGCAGCATCTCACTTAGTCCTTGCCGCCCAACAGCCCATCAGCCCAACACCACCCAGCTCCTTATGGTAGATGGCTTATTTTATCTGTCTGACTCTCGGGTGATGGTGATGGCAGTGGTGGTTCCCCGTTCGTGTGTCGATATTTTATTTTTATTTGAAAAAATCAATTTATGGGCTCTTTTGCAATAAACGATTTCTCTTTTATTTGTCTTCCCCGACGTCGTTCGTTGTCGCTGGTCGTTGTTCTTGGTCTCCTTTTGCTTTATGGTCGCATATCCTTATAATATTTTCTATAGTTGTCATCGCTTCAGCTACGGCATCTCGTTCTCAGGACCCCCGGCCTCCATTATTCATTGTATGCCACACATATAACCCCCTTTCCATATATATATAAGTATGTATGTTCATATATGTGTGGGCCCGATTCATTTTTTACCCTATGAGATAATAAAGGAGCAGCAGCAAAAATAGGGCGCAAGAAGTTTGCTTTGCCTCCAAGAAAAATGACCCTCAAAAAATGGGTATATATGGGATGGTGTTGGGTTTTGGGGCTGATGTTGAGGTGGGGGTTGGGGCTCGAGAAATAAAAAAGATGGCCTGGCCAACGAGGGCAAATGCATTTCACTTGAAAGGCTTTTGACCAGGTCCTACTCAGCCCCCCAGCCCGAAGCAAACGCAAAACACATTAGAAAATATTCACTTAGGGCAAACTATTTGCATATGAAGTCAGCCAAGTGCAACGGGGCGAATGATTGATAAATGAAGAAGTCGAGCGGGCACAAAATTGAGGAGGAAGATAGAAGATTTACAAGATGAAGGAGTTGAGAAGTATGTGAAAAATGGCAGCGGAATATGGGGAGCTTTACAGATAGGGAATAGCAAATATATAAGAGAAGTATTATAATTAGATACAGTTATTAACTGTTCTCAAAAAAGTCAGATACCAAGTGAGTAAGTTAAAAAATTAATAAAATTATAAATAGTGTGAGCTCACATTCAGAATATGAAAACTTCGTTTTTAGTCTTACCCGAATTTTACGTCTCCACAATTTATTTGCTATATAAAACGGTTTATAGATTCCCTTATGCCTTCGTTCCCTATTTCAAATTCCCGCTGTTTCAATGGAATCTTTTTATAATCTATTGCCTGTTTTTTCCTCCCCTTGCCAGACATCTTTTGTATAATTTAAAGCCCTGCTCAGCCCGCTTTTCTTTCGCCCTTTCGCATTGGCAGACTGGAAAGGAAAAATTTAAATCGCGCATACGCCGCATTGGCCATTATTTCCACTTACAACTCCTCCCCCAACCCGCCTCCTTCCCGCTATGTTTGTACTCTATGTTTCTAGGGTTTTCCCACCAACTTTCTGGAGAACTGGATAACTAGACTTGGCGATAGTTTCGGTGGCTGTGTCTCACTTTGTTGGATTTTTATTGTGGCTTTTTATGCGCCGTACACAAGTTTTTATTCTCTTCTTTATATTTTTGCGCCAGCGAAACTTTCCTTTTATTTATTTCCTGGCTTGCAAGTGCCTGCCACGCCCCATTTGAAATGGAAATGTTCTCAGCCATTTTATATTGTGTTTAATACATTTTAAAGGCAGTGGGGGAGGGGGAGGCGAATGGCTTTCAATGAAAAATATCCAACAATCAAAAAAATTACACACATTTTTTCGCCATTCCCGATAATTTATGAACTTGTCAAATGTGTCTCAGTTTTCCCACCCATTCAGCCATTCGCTGTGCGAAATTTATTCATGCCTCTGCCGTTGGAAAAAGAGTTTTATTTATTGTGATCGTGGTGGGGCAAAAAAACGAGAGTTTAACTTTATGCGAGATACAAAACCAAATGCATTCCGTGCAAACCAAATTGCAACCACCCCCTTCACATATGGCAATTATTTGTGTGTGCTGCCGACGCCCCTGCCCTGCTTCCTCTTTTTGGGGCTCAAATTAAATTTACAATTTGTTTGGCCAAAGCCAAAAAAGCTCAACAAAATCACTCTGATATCGGGACAAAGAGAAATTGTTAATATAAAGCGCGTAACTGGTTCAAAGAAAAAACTGCAGATTTTTAAAGCCAGTTGAAAAATAAGTTTCGTTGTTTTAAATAAAGGGGCAGAACATATTTATAAAAAATTATAATTCCTCTCTTAAGCCATTATTTAAACATAAATGAAGAATTAAAAAATGGCTTTGAATATGCTTTTAATTGTAAGTACATGTCCTGCATCTCCATTCAACATTTAATTAAGTATTTTTTCTTGTATAATTGTATTTTTCATAATACCAGTTTTTCTTCTATCGATTAAAGCTTCTTTCGTGGAAAATATTAATAATATTTCCAGCACTGCAGTTGTGGTATTTGTATTTTGTATTCATTTGTCGGCTTAGTTTGGGTAATGAGGTTAATCCAATTTGAGTTGTCGTTGTTCCATTTTTGCGCTTCATAAACCGAATTTCATTTCTATTTTCGTTTGTCTTTTCCATTTTTTTTTCATTGAATTTCCATTTCGATTTCCATTTGCTCCGCCCAACAACAACGAACAATGAACTGGGACCGAATGGGCCCCTTTCACCCCCGCTGACATATTTGTGATCTATCAAAAAGCAATTCACTCAACCAAACCATCAGCATTCATTTGGATTCACCACCCCTTCCACCGTTCAGCCGCTCAGCCATCCATCAATCAATCAATCATTATGCTCATAAAAATTAGCAACATCAAGCGGTAAACGGGAACAAATGAAATGCCGCCTCAAGCCGCAAAAATGTTTGCATTAAAATTAATTACAGAAGAAATCGTAGCCCAGAAATCTACGGCTGATGAATACAAATTGTGTGGGCAGCGTGAAATATGGAAGCGCATTAAAAAGGGTTGTGGCATCCCACGGGGCGTATGCGCAACGCCCTTCGGAGACCATAACAACTAAAAATCCATCAGCACTCACTGCCACGCCCCCCGGAAAAATGGCACACATGCTGTAGACTTTGAAAGGTGCTCCCCCAGTGGACAAATTGGAGGGCAATCAAAGAGAAACCCGAGTTTCAAAGCCGAATTTCGTATAATCTTTCTATATAAAAGCGAATTCTGCAGAAGTAAGTGTAGAACTAAGTAATTATTAAACTTATTATACTAAAAAGAAATTGTAGTAGTATTTTCGAAAAATAAAAAGGCGAAATTTTAATTTTATTTAAGGCACACATAAAAAAAATAATGTTAAAAAACAGCGGAATTTGCAAGATAAATTCAAAAACACACACGTTAATAATTTTCAGCTGCTAATAAAAACATATTGAAGTTATCAAAATAAAGTTGGGAAATAAAGTTGTTTCCAAGAAATGCAATTGAGTGCCCATAAAATCCATAAACTCACAAATCAGCCAATCTTATTTAATTTATCGGTGGGGCCACTTCATTCCTGGAATTTGCTACGAATCTCCAACAAAATGTGTTGTGCTCGAGAGACGGGATTTTTTATTGTATTTATTGCCGCCCGAGACAAGTGAAAAACATGTGATGGGCGTGGGGGGTGGGGGTCGGAGGTGGGAAAAGTGGGCGTGGAGCTGTCGGAAAATCTTACAAGCCGCCGAGTGACAAGGCAAGGAAAGCATGTCTGGAATGTTTGTTTTATAAACGAACTTTTTTATTGCCCGCAAAAGGTTGGGAAAAACCAATGCATTTTGAAATTCTTAAGTTGGCTCTTGCTATGTTTTTAATTTTTATTTTTCAAATTCTTAAATTTATTTAGCAAGTATTTTTATACGTTTTTGGTTAAGACTTCATCTTCGGTTGGCCGACTGAGGAAAAACCTCCCGTGGCTCCTCATTTCCTGTCTCGTATTTGTTTGTTTGCCTTCCTCTGCGGAAGTGTTTTTTTTTCCAGCTCCTTCGAACTCTTTGATTTGATTAGTGCAAAGTCCCGCGCCATCCTTCGTCTGATTGCTCTATGAATGAATCCCGATGAATGGCCACAAAGAAGAGGATTCGTTCCCCCCTTTTTTATGATTTTTTCCTCAATTTGTTCAGCTCTAAAATTGGTTTGGCTTCGTCAGCGATTTTCCGCACATATATATATATCTATATATAAAAGATATGTTCGATTCTGACTCTGGTTCTGGAATTAGCTTGTTTCCTGAGCTGCCGCACATGTGTCACGAATTTTCAGCTCCCAAATTGAGTTACGAAAGTGGAATGATGTTAATGAAGCGCCGTGTGCTTTTCGGTATGTGGGAAAATATTTGATTTTTCACTTATATTTCCCCAAAAAAGAACTCAACGTGGGCTCAGCTATTTTCTACTTTCTGCTTTCACAGCTGCAACTGAATTTTGTACCGATTTTTGGACGATAGCAGGAAAATAGTAAAGACCTTAATTTTAGGAACGATTTTTTATATTTTTTAATCATTTATATTCCCCCGCAGTCTTAATGTTTATATTTTGCTTCATTTAATTAGTGTTCCAAAAGTTACTTCTACTTTCTTTTTGTTTTTCCCGCCAGTTACTCGGAAACTTTGTTCAAATCTCAGCCGTTCTCAACTTTACCAGGCATTTTTCACTTCTTCCAGTCATTAGACACCCATTAGTCAGCGTAATACCCACGATGATCTATGCCAATCTATTTCGAAAATCTTTTTTCGGGGGCCTCTTTCTGTTCAATCTACCGCACAGTTGCGACTCATTAAGAAATCATTTTTCACAAGGAGCCAAACAAACAAACGGGCGGCAACAACAAATAAATAAAGACAATTTGAATGGAGAGACCAGAGACCAGAAAAAAATAAAATTCATTTGTCCAAGAATAGAATCTAAGGGGCACAGGCACTTGTTGAAAATAAAACGAGCGAGAGGCAAGATAGCGGGCAATGCCATGACCTCTCGCACATTTTCCAGAGAATCCATGCCCCTATGCATATCTTAAATTCCGGAAAATTACTACAGATAATCCGGCAGATCTTTCGGGAATTTCAGTTTACTTACCTTGATTTCTTTTCGGCTGCCTCTACGATTGATGATCCATTTGTGTCGCCGTTCTTCTGGCTGTTGGATTTAAAATGATATTTTATTGAGTTTAATTGGAACGCGAACTAAACGGCGAGTTTGAAAGAAATGGAATTATACAGTATTATAGGGGTTACTGGTTCTTCGCGATGGAGCCACCACACAATTTTCGCACTTTGATCTCTTTTTTATTTTGGTTCACTTAATTCTCGCCTTTTTTCCGTGTTTATTTTTTGACTTTTGTTCATTGGTTTTCCTGCCCTTTGTTTTGTATAATTATTATACGCTTGTTTTGGTTTTTTGTTAATAACTTAAATGCAATTTGTTCTAATTAATTTATATGATATGTTGAATTAATTGCATTTTACTTTCGTAATATATTTGGACTCTATTTCAGTCTATTTGAGCTTTGTTTACTATTATGTAATTAATTATCAATTATTTTATTAAGAATAAAGTTATTTAAATTTGAATTCGAAAATATTTCAAATATAAGAAGATTCTCGTAATATTTCGAAGTTTTTCTTTAGTTTCTCTAGGCTTTTGTCTTAAAAAAGGTCTTCGTGCTGAAATGAGAAAATGGGATAGAACAGTGAGTAAGTAGGTATCGAAACAAGTAATCGGAGGTAGAGATATCATCGTAATAATGAAAAGCTGTATTTAATTGGAAATTTATATGTTGAAGCTGAGTACATCAAAATAATTCTTCGTTTTCCATCCATTTCAGTAGGTGTTATGGTGGAAACTCCTTTATTTCGCTTTATTTTCTTCTTCTTGACCCAAAGACAATGAAAGAGACAGAAGGCAGGGTGCGATAGAGAGGGCGCGAACGTTGGCGTTTTCCATTGAATTATGCTGCAATAAATTTCACCTCATAAGCCAATAATGACGAAAACTTTTGTGTTGCACATTTCGTGCCATGCGGCTGGCCTACTCCTGCCACTCCCCCTTGTCTCCTCTTTTTTAAAATATTTTTTTGGCCTCATACCGCCCAAGATAGTCCCGTCTCTGTCGCACTCGTTTGCTCTTCCTTTGTGCCGCCTGCCTGCATAACAATGTCCTACATTCCCAACACGTACCATCGACAACAGCAACAACAGCAACGGCAACTTTGGATGCTATTTAACAAGCGAGCAAAGGGGCGTGGCAGCCACCCATCCACAGCCCCATTTTCCCGCCCATCCGGCGTGCGAGCGAGATAGACAAATGCGAAAATTGCATACGAAACGTAACGAAAATGCAGAGCCCAAAGTTATTGAGACAGAAGAGTGGCGGAGAAGTGGAAAAGCGGGCTTGTCAGACGAATATATATAGATACATATATATATGTATAAGTCATATGCATATGGCCGTATCTATGTGCCAGTGCACATAGCCATATGCATATGCGGGCCGTGATTAAACCCAACTTAAAGCGAAACTGCAAAAAGGCTAGCGAAAAGTTGGTGAGAGATATCGCAAAAGGAGCGGTAAAGAAAAGAAAGCAAGTATCTGCAAATTGAGAAGGATCACTGGGAGAAAAATGAGTTCAACTCTTTAAATATATATACATAGCTCCACAAAATCAGCAATTTGGTCGCTTTGAACTGAGTTGTGTAGTGTGGCCATACTTCTGGCAGAAACTGAGTTGTGTAGTGTGGCCATACTTCTTGCAGAAACAGCTTAAGATTTAACCCATTTAATTTATTTTATATTTCTTGAATTTCCGCTAAGTCGATCCAGATTTTTCACGTGTTGCGGCCCCATCGACAAGGTGACTGCATAATATATGCACACATCGCGCCTTCCACTGCCATTTCGCCCATCATTCCCATTCCCCAGCGTTTGATATACGGTCTAGTACAGTTAAGTAGCTACTATATACGATGGGGCCAGCACAAACATTTCCGGGCTGCTTTCGTTTTCAAGACAAAGCCAAAAGTCGAACTTCTTCTCGGCCAACAAGGGGCTGGGGCTCCGGCTTGCCATCGTCGTCATCGCCAGCTCCGAATCTCGGTCACAGGGCGGAGTTCAGAGGGTGGGTTTGAGGCTTTGTAGCTGTTTGCTTCTACGGTTCTACGGTTCTTTGGTTCTCTGGTTCTCTGGTGGAGAAGAACTCTGGGCGACATAAATTGGCGGCGGTTCTATGTATGAAAAGGCATGCCATTAAATAAATATTGTGTAATGCGCCGTCTGTCCATGTCTCGTTTGGCGAAGGGAGAAGGGCCCTTCGCTGGCTCGCAAACTATGTAATTAAATTTGGTGTTTTTACTTGTCTGATTTAGTTAGTTTTACCAATTTGCATATGGGTCCGGACAGGGGAAGCAACCCCATTTGCGCGACCCTTTTACGCGGTTTTGGCCGGGCGATATTTCCATTTGGACTTTATGGAAGCCACTTGGTGAAGTTAATGGAGAGGATTTCAATCTGGGGATTTACTTAAAGCAGATGGCATACAAGAAATGATGGAAAAGTATGTCACTTCTTTCAAACTGGAATGTTTAAGTTAATTCACCCTTGCAACAGTTTATATGGTGTATCAAGTAATATTCGGTTAGTACAATAGTTGTGGAATACTTTACGATTGTAAACCTATTATGTCAACTATTTACTGCACTTAATCTATATTTTTGTGTTGCTTATAACCATTAGCTCTACGCTCCCTTAGTACACAAGTGTGTATCTACGTTGGGTAGTCTATTTTTAGCTAGACAATTTTTCATCTTCATTCAAGCACTTTAACTAAGTTAGTGCATCGTTATGTACTCTCCTCTTTGGCCACCCAGTTTTCCCCGCTATTCATCGTCATCACGAGGCACGCACTTTCACACTTATCGAAGCATACTTATGGGCGCAGGCGAGGCTTAAGTGCAACATTGTTGCTGTTGGCTTCCACGGAGGAAAAAGTAGTCCCTTTATCAGGGTTCTTGTAAACAAAACTATTTATAACATATTATGAACGAATTATGATCATTTGCTTTTGCCTGTAAGTTCATTAAAATTCCACAGCTTCATTACAAAAATCTAAGAATGGTTTCCCATATATGGGTTCTAATAAACAAAGTTCCTGATAAAACATTATGAAAAAAAATAATGGTCACTTGGTTTTGTTTCTAAAGTAATATTTCTAGGAAAAAAATCATGAAAAAATCGAATATTAGTTCTTAAAGCTTGAAAGATGTTAATGTGATAGGTCAGAATCTATAACATTTGAAAAATTTTCATTAAGACATATTTATGTTTGACCCAAATAACTATTTGGTTGGTCAACCATTAAAGGCTCATATTTTTTTCCGAGTGCACCCCAGCTGGTGTTGTTGTTTGGCTAGTGTAAAAATAGTGTTTTTGTTGTTTTTGTGCGCTGCCTCATTGCATTTTCGTTTTTGGGGGCATTCGCTTGATTATGTATATTTACCCTAACACATTGGGCGAAGGATGTGAAGGGGGTCGCGGGTAGTTGGCCTGTAATTGCTATTTACACTGCAACACAGATACTCACCAACACAGCCAGCGAAGATCCTGGCACACACACACACATGGCAACACATAGACAATTATGTTTGTGTGCCTGATTTGATGGCGATAGCAGGCCAGGCCAGAAACCAAATCAAAGCCAACAGCAAACAAATAAATACAAACACCAAGGAAGACCCACACACACAGATACTCACCAATACATAGAAAGCAAGAAAGAGAGAGAGCGAGAGAGAGGGCCTGTGTTCATATAAGTATGCAGCACTTTGCAATGGTTTAATGCGCGACCTAAAGACCATTTAAACTGGGACAAATGAGGCCAGGCGCAGGACCCGAAAACCCAAAACCCAAAACCCAAAACTCAAAACCCAGAATCAACAATCCCGAACACAAATCCGCTGCTGAAATCCAGATCAACAATGGAGGGATATGTCGAGACGACAATAAAGGAAGTCACTTTTGTTTTCAGTCCGCATTATATGCCATTATGCAGTGTGCTCCTATATGGACTTCTACCAGGCTTAAACCACACAAAAAACAGATAACATATAGCGACAAATATGCGACACGTTCTTCTTTTCGCTTATTATCCTGCCATCTGATTTTTTCGTCCTGCAATTTCGTTTCCGTTTCCCTGCTCGTAAATTAGGTCAGGCGAGGAATGACAACAACTGAACTTAAATCTATCACGAAAAGTCGACCTATTGATTACCAACTCTAACACGAACCATAAAAATATTCCTGAGATTTATTATCAAAATATTAAAATATTATAATATATAAATATTATTTGCAACAATGGAAATATAAGAGCAGACAATTATAAGGAACCATATTTAAAGTTAAGCTTTAATAATATCTCATGGAGTATTATCTTTAAGTATTCTTGTATTCTTCACACAACTGTAAAATATATTTGCTATGATATACAGCTATATGAGATAAAGATTAAAATTAAAGCCATTAACATATTTTAAGAATATATACATAGTATGCAGTTTAACAAGAATACCCCTGATTTCCCTTTACCGGAAAATTTTGATTACGATTCGGACAATTTTTCTTCTGCTCGCCTGACCAATTGATGATGCTGGCTGCGAGTAAATTTATTTCATTTTAATTTATTTATAATATTTTTCGTCCATTTAGTTGTTCGTCGTTTTTTAAATATTTGTTTTATTTGTTCTTCTTCCTTTGTTGTCCATTTCGTGGGCGACTGGTTCTTTTTTTCGTACTTGCATGGCAATTTTCAGTTTATGGACATGATTTCCTCTGCGCTGGTGTTTCTGCTTACATAAATAAATAAAAAGACGCAAAAACAAAATTGAAATGAAATTTCATATGTCATTATATTGCACAATTATTCCAATTGTTTTTTTCATTTCAACTTTGCTCTGCTGTGTTTTTTTACCCTATCAACCGTTTTTTGTTATATCTGCATATTAAATGCGAAAGCGCCAACATTTGCATTAATTTTTTGTGGCCATTTTGATGTGACTGCTTTTTCCCCCATTTTGATGATTTAATGTGGCAAAATGTGCGGAACCAATTTCGAAACATATCTGCATGGAAATGAAAAACGAAGGGGGAAAGCCTCTGACAATAATTATTTGCGATGGAGGAAGCCAAGTGGCCATTTCTTTGCGAGGCTCTGAATAATTTTACGATTGAGCATTAATGGATGTGACAGCATTGTTTTTAATATAAACGAATTGAACAAATAAAATGTGAAATCATGTTTTTAAATATAACGAAAATATGTTTGGGGCTGGATTGGCAATTATTTTTCCCAGTGAAAAACTTGTGTTCAACTAATGGAATAAATTATAATGAAAAACTATACAATATTAAACGTAATGTGTTAAAAATGTATCACTGATTTCGTTTAAATTCATTCAAAGGTTCTAAATTATATTTGTTTTTAAGTTCTTTAAGACGTGATGTCTATGTTTTTCTGGGTTTACCTTTTATTGCTTTTGAAAATGGCTGTCAAACTATTTAGAAATTTCGCTTTGATCAACATAATAAATCTTTTAGGAATTTTCTTAACTTAATGCCACACTGGTATTGCAAAATTTGGCCCGCGGAGATAAAAAAATGTGTCAAATTCGCAGTAAAAGTCGAAAAACTCGTATATCACAGGCCCAAAGCCCTCTGAAGTTGGCCTAAGAGCGATCTGGACACTGGGAAGAACCAGCGAGAGACAGCGATGCATCAAAATTATTAATAGACCGTTATGAAAAGCCCGTCGAGATCGCGAGAGATGTTTTTCCCGCTGCGGTTCGCTGGGTTCTCAATGAGCGATGGCCAGACAAAGACGCCGAAAGACATGAACAAACCATCAAATCAACTCGGCATTTATTTTAGAAAATATTGTAACTTTTCCCCATTTCGCTCAAATGTTTTTTGGTTTTGTTTATGTTTGTCTAGCGGCGGCAGCTGACGGCACAGATTGTTTATAAACTTTCTGGATTGTAAAAGAGATTTTTATAAGAGGGAATAGTTTTAAAGTAGCATTTTAGAATATTTTTCAGGCTTAAACAAAAGTTTTTTTTGAAAATTTAAGAATGGTTCTGTCGTAACCCACCCACTGTATTATATTGAAACAATTCTTCTTAATTATAAAGAGGTAAATTCACTAATGACAAGAAGGTAAAGGCCAAAAATGCTTCAAAATGTTATAACAATATTATAATGTTGTTGAACAAGCAACAAGAAATTACTCAATAAAATCCAGCCATAACAATGAAAACCAATGGAATATGTGTACGATGAGCAATGGTTTCTTAAGTATTTTGGGCATATCATTTGCTATTATTAAACAGCAGATAAACAATTGGAGATTTTAAAGAAATCCTTGCCTCATTCGCACTTTGCGATTGTTAATCACGGCGATGGAATTCCATTATTTGAATTATTTGCCGTGGCTAAGTTAGAGAAAAAATATTATTGCCTTAATATTTATTTATATGAAAAATTCTTCGATTTCCATTCAGCACGTGTATCCAAAAGCGGAAGTGTTCGGCCAAAAAATTTGCCACAAATCAGCGGACTCAGCTCATAAAAAACGCAAGAAAAATACACAAAAAAAACCAGGGGGTGTATTATTTTCGATCTCTGGACAGAGAATAGATATACATAGATATTTATGTTCAATAGATCACACACCTTGAGCCACTCACTCAGCCTCAAAGGCAGCCACTTTGGCTGCCAAACATTTTGTCCGTTTTTCCAGTGATTTTCTCTGCGTATGCTGTGTTGGTTTTTCCTTCGATTTTCACTGGCGCTTGGGGGATTTTTCACTTGTCCAAAGTACTTTACCCTGTGGCCGCTGTATATCTGGTTTTTCTATGCACACGCACTGCATATTGCCACTTTTGTCGACTTTCTCTTGGCTTTACTTTGCGGTTGGACTTTCATTTGATTTTTGCGGCAAGCTCACAACACCGCACGTTGTTGTTCTCGCTGCTGTTGTAGGTTGTTGTTGTTTTTTTTATCATATTCATTATATTTTAGGTTTTTATTTTTCGTATTTTAGATGTATATATAGAAAGAGAGCACGTTAAAAAAATTTGCAAAAAAATTCGATCGCTTGCACGCGTGGTTAAGTTAAAAATAAATTATTAATAATAATAAACAAACAATTTAACGGGGAACCCCGCCAAACGCACGTGTGTGTGTGCGTGCGAGTTTGGCCTAGAGCGTGTGTGTGTGCGTGTGCGAATTGGCGTGTGTGCGTGCCAAGCACTAAGTGGGAATACTGCTCCAGCTTCCGTTTCCGCTTTGCACTGCACTTCCGTTCAGCTCAGTTCGTTCCGTTCCGTTCCGTTCGGCGCTTCGATCTCGACACGACTCCTCGACTTTTCTTCTTCTGCTTCTGCCGCTGCCGCTGCGACTGCGACTGCGACTGCTTGTTAAGGTTCCAGCTCTGCTCGGCCCGCTGTCGCAGTCGATGCTGACCGCGGCCGCGGCGCCGGCAGCGAGAGAGTCGCAGAGCTGCGGAGTTGCAACCTTTGGAGAGTTTCGGTTCTCTCCAAGCTGCTCTGACTCTAATCTTGCCAATTTCAAAAATATTTTTTTTTTAATTTTTGCGCCTAAAATATTGAAAATGATTTTTTGTTTTCATCTTTTAACAGAATTCTATCTTATAAAATTATATAAAAAATACACAATGTCCCTAAAATACATTAATGTTTTGAATAGTTAACAAACGATAATCCTTCTCCTCCTTGAAAACTTTTTTTCACAAACAATTCCAGTTCCCAAAACTACAGTTTTATACAAAAAGTATTTAGGCTAAGCACAATTTAGACCTGGCTTACTTTGCCTTTAGATTTAAAACTTGGCTATGTTATTAATTAATGCATTGAGAAGATCATTTTTATCCGGCTCGAGGTCAACCACTAATTAATAGGAAATGTTCTTAAATTCTGATTTCGAAATTCTTCAATTGCATCTCGGATACCGGGAAAAGCTATTTTACTTTTACAATGTTCGTTTAAAAAATCTAAATCACCGTTGATAGCAAGAGTCATCTAAATAAATTTTCAGACCACAAACTTCCCAATTTGTTAAAGCCTCGTTAAACCCCTCAATTTTTAACCACTTTCACAAACCTAAAAACTAAAAAAATACTTCTTATTTTTCCAACGGAAATATTACTATTTAGATATAAAAAATCGTGTTAGAACCTAAGCTGTTTTGCAATGCTTTAGAAATGAAAAATCACTTTTGCAATTCGTAAGATGCCTGCCCAATCCTTAAAGGAACTCAAAAATAGCCTTAAAATGTTTAGTCCCAAGCGTAGTTTTTCGAATCCTTCGCACACACACAACCACACACACTGGCTCACACACACGCGGTGCAATAACGGTGTTTCGGCTGCCAAAAAAGAAAACCGCAGAAGGGAGTTTTGGAGAATGAGAATGTGTGGCAGGTGGAGAATATGAGAATCTGAGAAGACAAAATCTAAGCGCAGACCCGTGAACGTGTGCGAACACGCGGAAAAACAAATGCAAACTGTTTTTGCTGCAGGGAAATTCGGAAAAACGAAATTCCGCCGAAAAGCCGACGGCGCCGCCGACGTCGGCAGCGCAGCCGAAGCGCCGCCCGAAGTGGAGCCGATGTTTTCGGCAGACAGACAACTGCGGTAAGAGCGCGTGAGTGGGAGCGGGAGAGCAGGATGTTCGGCTCCGGCACGAAGAGTTCCGAAGCTCCTTCGTGTCCCGCTGCCGACGTCGCAGTGCGGCCAGAGCAGAGCTTTCCGAAGGGAGAGAGCGAGAGAAAGGGGCGCGCGAGAGAAAGTCGTGCTCCTGCTGCAGCTGTTTGTCTTGTTGTTGTGTTGTGCGTCTGCTGCATTGCCATCAGTAATTGACAAATTGCCTACATTGAAGCGCTAATTTTTTACCATCCAGAGTAAGACAGAGAGGAAGTGGGGGAAAAAAGCCCTGAAACAAGGGAACTTAGAAGAAACATTACAACCGAAACTTAGAAATTCTTTTTTTGGGAAATAAATTAAATTTAATTTTTTTTGAAAGAAGGTGTAAGGGAAAATTAACAATAGTGGTGAAATAAAGTAAAATTCTTGAACACAAAATACCACATATCACCAATACCAATATCACCCCCTTAAAGAGTTTTCGAAAAGATACAGACTTTCTGAGTTGTATTCCTAAGAATTTCCTGGGTTTTTCATTATTTATTTCGAAACTAGTTTCCGAAAACAAATATTTTTTCTATCAGCTCACAAGCCGTTTTTTCATCGGCATGGTAAGCAAAACTAAGCCAAATTTGTATGAAAACGGCCCTTAGATTTGCATTAACCTTACAACAGTTTCTTGAAATCGTTATAAACTTGTGAAACCTATTTAATAACGGTTGAAGCTCACTCAAATTTGTAAAGCTATTAAAGTATACACTTTCAAAACATTTTATTTGCATATTTTAGTTGTGTCTCAGTTGTAAATAAGGGCTCAGAACTTCGTCTTTCGGTGATTTTCGAGCATGTTACTCCCCGAAGGTCCTGAACTCCTGAGAGTATGCAACAGAAGCCAGAAAAGCTGCATGGCCGCTAACATTCTGCACTTTAGCATTCTGGTCCGGTTAACATTTGCCGAATGACAGGGATCGCTTGCAGCTGCAGCGCTGTTAGCGCCGGCAGCGCAGTCGGCGTCGCCGTCGACGCTGGACGAAAAAAAACACGATTTTGTGTCTGTGCAGAAGGCATTCACACCAAAAAGTTTTCGCCGCTTTTCCGTCGCTTTTCGTGCTGCACGTGCTTTTCACGTTTTCCGAGCCGAGCATCTCCTCTCTCTCTCTTCTTCTCTCCACCTGCCCGCTGCACCCCTCTCGCTCGCTCTGTCACCCCTTGTGGGGTTTTTGGCCTAGCCGGTTTTTGCCTTCTTTTGCGGTTCACAAAAATATTGCATATTTATATGGGCGCTTTTTATACAGATTATAATTTTTAAATTAATTAAGCACTCTCCGATTTGTGCATTAATAAATTATTGCAAAATAATAAAAGAAATGTCAGTTAAACAACCAAACTATCATTATTCTGGAATGTTTTTAAGTTCTCAAATATAATCGGAATACGCCGCATTTGAATTAAATTTTCCATATACACATTGTAATATTTTCAGCCTCGTTAAAATGAAAGATAAAATGTTTAAGGCATTTTACATATTGAAAAAAGGTTTACTCTCTTCTACTTAAATGAAATGTTGGTCAATTTAAAAAGATTCCTAACTAAGCGTTTTAAACAAAATACCTCGCATGACAATTTCCGTTTGTCTTAAAAAATATAAAGGTGAAATTCTGAACAGCTCAAGCTGATTATTTAATTTTATAAGTTACTAAAAGTATTTCTTGAAATACCATCTTACTTCTCATTTTTATGTTGCATCTGCTAAATGCTCTAGTTGCTTAATAAATTCGAACAAATCATTAGCACCGAAAAAAATGTAAAAAAAATCGGGGTAATTCCCAAATCAAGTTCGAAATTGTTTAAAATATGCACCAAAAAATTGGCGTGAGTTTTTCTCCCACACACACACACTCACACCTGCACACTCACAAAAAACACAAAAGGCAATTCTTGTTGTTGTTTCTGCTTTATTTAGGTGATGCAATCGAATGCCGCATTCCACACACACACAGGACAGCCCTCACACACACTCAGACACACACACACACACAAACAAAGGCAAACACTCTAAAATATTTTTGTTGTTTACTGTTACGCGAAGTTTTCCACTTTTCTTTTTTGTGTTGATTTTAGCACGAATTTTCGAGGTGAAAAGCGGCGCGTGTTAATGCACCACTTCCTGTTGGGCTACTGTACCGTTATTATTTTCTGTGGCATGCCGGCAAAAGAACGGCACTTTCCCACACTCTCTCTCGCTCTCTCTCTCGCGCTCTCTGACTGCGATTTTCCCGCTCACAATCCGCTCAGCAGCGCCGCATTTTCGCCGACTTGCAGCCGGAAAACTGCAATGTGCAAAACTCCGGGCATGCGATTTGAAAATTGTGTCGTCAGCTTGACACAATTTTCCAGAAAACGCGCCTGGAATGGCGGAGCGGGGCGGCGGGGAGTGCCGGCCGAAAACCAGTAACAAAAACGGGAGCAATGATATGGGGCTCCATGGGGGGTAATCGGGATGGCCGGGGCACAGCTTTGCAGCGGCGCATTACGAGTTTTTCGGCTTCGGGAACCGGGAATCGGGATTCGGTTCTGCTTTTGTTGATGTAGGTCTGGATTTTCAGGACACGTGTCCCCGGTGGTCCTGTGGGTGGTTGGGTGGCTGGGTGGCTGGGTGGTGCTTATAATTCACCCGATTTTCGATTTATCTGAAAATCTTTTTATTTTGTATGCCCCCTTTTCTAGAACTATATTAAATACACCCATTTTTGGCAATTTAAATATTTAAATTTGAGTGCACGAGTGTGTGAAAGCGCCTGTGAGTGTGTGCGTGCGTGTATGTGTGTTTGTGTGCGTGTGAGTTCAATAGCATTTTGGGCTGGAAAATAAAAAATAAATAAAACCAGAAGCTTGCAGCTGCTGCAGTGAGAGAGAAAATGCCTCTGTGAAAGAGAGAGAGAGAAAGGTGGGAGCGAGACAGTCAGCTTAACAGTCTGTTAACATTTAGTGAGATTAAGAGAAAAGCTTTTAAAAGCCACAAATAATTAGGGAGATAAGTTTGAATAGCCCTGCAAAGTGATCACCTGGCCTTAAGCGATCTGAAAATAAAAAGCTCATCACCAAAATTAACGAAAATTAATTGGTTAAATAAAACTAATAGGGTGTTTATTGTTAAATATATTTAATATCTAATACAATTCATTGAAACAAAAATAATAGTTTTTATTATTAAAAAGATATATTTGTATTTTTTGATTAATTCAATTTTAAGTTCAACCAATCATTAAAATAATAAATAAATATATTTGCTTTTTTGATTGTTTTTTTTTTCAAAATGAATTCTTGATTTTTGGAAAAATAAAACAAAGTTAAGTCATTCGTTAGAGCAAAATCACTGGAAATTTAAAACTCAATATTGAATAAAAGAAAACCCCTCGACGAAGTCAACTTTGTTGTGATCTACTTTTAAAGGTACGCAGCACCGATAAGATAGTGATTCGGAAACGATTTCGGCTTAGCCCTACGGATCGTTAGTCGAGTGATTGAATGTGTTTCCAACTGATAAGCATGAGTAAGCGGAATAAAATTAGTGTTTGATTGTCCAGCTAATAAAATATATATGATTGAGTAACAGAAACGGAAGGGGAAGAAAAAAAAAGAAGCTTCCACCAATGTTAAAGAAAAGTTCTTGAACACCAGATAAATATCGTAATATTATTTAATTTTATTGGCTAGACGAAAATTTAAAAAAAATATTGCAGAGGTCACCACTGAAATTTTACAAAATCATTGGGAGAATGGGTTACTTTTTCAGTGTGCTAAGTGGCAGGGAAAAATACCGCCGTACTCCTTCACAGCGATCTCCATATAGACGGGTTCCGTATGGTCGTTGGTCAGGACCCGCAGATCGTGGTCGTTGAGTCGCATGTACTGCTGGCTGTGTGGCATAAAGTCGAGGCAATTGTGCGACTTGTGGAGTCCCCGGACCTTCATGATCGAGCTCCTGGTGATGTCCAGTCGCCGGTTGATCACCGTCATCACCACATGAACGGGACGCGGCAGATCCATGCTGACCATCCACAGGGCGAGGACATCCTCGTCGTCGAGTCCCTCGAACCGCACCCTTCTACCCCGACCCTCGAGGCTGCTCAGCCGATTCCTGCAGATCATCACGAAGAGGGGCAGGTGGTTGTCGAAGTGCTGGTAGGGTTCCGGCAACTCCTTGTTCCGGGTGGGCATAAATCTGGCGGCGGGCAGGGTGCAGGGCTTACCCCTAACCCCTCCGTAGGCGATCACCGACACGCAGGTGTTCTGGCCAAGATCAAAATCCTTGGGGCTAAAGACCATTAGCACACGCTGATCCTCGAAGATCTCACGCAGCTCAATGCCCGATTCATCCAGGTGCTGGGACAAAAAGTGTCCCAACAGAGTGGCGTTCATCACGGTGGGACACTCACAGTTGTTCGAGGGGCACACATACTTCACCGAGTTGCTGAGGACCGGCTTGAAGGCCATCTTGTGGTCCTCGAAGTGCCTTCTATATTCCCGATCCGAGGTGGCCTGCAGCCAACGCAACTGACCCATTCGCAATTTGATATCCTGCATCCTTTCCGCTCGACTCTGCTTATCGAACTCGGTCACAAAGTACTGTGTTCTCGCCAGCGTTTCATCCGACTTCTTGAAAAGCGGCAAGCCCGCACAGCCGGCATACAGTCGATCCAAGGGCTGATACTTCAGCTTATCCGCCTGACCGTAGAGTCCTCCGAGGCACTGCTTTTGATGATCCAGGTGACCCCTGCCCAACTCGGTGTTTATCCAGACTTCCGTGAAGGTATCGTTGGAGTGCAGGGGAGCCAGCTGCTCGGTACCATCAGGATCGGGATTGGGATCATCGACTGGATCGGCAGGCTTCTTTAAGCACGGCTTAGTGGGCTCACTTTTCAGCAGGGCTTTCAGGCGTTTGTCGAATACCTCCAATGAGGAACTATTCACGGGATCCGGGGTTTTTCTACCCTTAAAACCTATTAAATTGTTATCGTTCTGGAAGGCCTCACTGCCACTGCTATGACAATCTTTAAGACTTCTGGGCGCCAATAGGGTCTCCAAGGATACACCCTTAGATCTTGAGGTTCCATGGATGGGACAAATATGGCAGGGACCTGGTCGATGATGCTTACCTTCCGGCCCACAAGGCACCCATCGTGAGTTTAAACACATCTTGGATACATTGACCTTCGCGTTTATGGCTTTCTTCTTGGGTAGGAAACATTTCAACGAACAACTGGGCTCGTTAGATTCCCTAAAATCCATTTCACATGTATTTTTTGGCATTTCACTGCAGTTAGAGATTTTATAATTTTCTGGTATTGAACTCTTCTTATTTCCACCTTGAAAACCACATCTAGATTGACGTTTCTTTGGAACTTTGTTTGGTTTCCCCTGAATTTTGCTTGAACTTTGAACAGAGAATTTGGAGCACCTTCGAGTTTTTATCGGATTAGAATTTTGAGATTGGTCCGAAAGTTGAACGGAATCTTGAGATGGTAAATGAGCAACTGATGTTTTCGGTGGTAATCCAGAGGAGGTGAGAGCAGAATATGAAACAGGAAAGTGAGATAGATTTTGGGAAGAACTTCTCTTTGGTGATTCTTTGGTCAGGTTTGCATGGGGAGAATTTCCTAGAAATCGACTCCGAAACTTGGGCGCATACTTAGCCAGCTCAATAGTTGAAATCTGATTATAACTTTCATCATTCAAGAAAGCTTCTTCTTCCTCTCCCGATTCCGAATGGTCACATTCGTTTTGAATGTTTTCCATTGCCTTCGGAGTTGGGTTTAATTCTGAAAACAAATAGTTTCTAGTTTCGGTTTGAGGACAATCATATTTTAAAGATGGCTTTTCCTTAGAATCCCATTCCTTTCCTTTACAAGACCCTCCCTGTGATGTTGTAGATGGTTTCCTCTCTTCAGTGCCAGTTCGAAAACCACCTAGGATTCTCCCTTTCGGTTCTTTAGTCTTCTGACCTTCCATAGAGAACAGTTCCAAGGGAGTTAGGGGAATACCCAAGCACTCGAATTGAAGACTGCGCCGAAACAAGTCCACAAAGCCGATTCTCGGTTGAGTGCCATCCTCTGAAGACTGCGAGATTTCATCTTCGATCACTGGACTCTTGGGAATCTCTCCACCCACCTCACGTTTTTCTTCAACCTGGATTAAGACAGGCGGTGGAGGACTGAGATGAGCCTGGATTTGATGGACCAATCTCAAGTAGCCATTGGCCATGTTATCCAGAACTCCTTTTACTAAGATAAATGTTCAAATAAAATGTGTATTAAATATCAAGAAAACATACTCTGTGGTGGCCTTGCAATGGGCTCATCGCCCTCATCTTTCTCCTCCCTGGCATCCTGATCCTTTTCCAATGGGAAATTCCGAGTTCCCTGACGGTAACTCCTTCTATTTTCGACTCGCGGTTCTGCCTGATTTGCTGTCCTCAGCTCCAAATAGCAAAACTTCTTACCCATTTCCTTCTAACTAATTTATTTATTTTTTGAAACTTAAAATTTGACCGGATTTTCATATAGATCAAGCAAAAACTGCCTGCCATCTGAAGGATTGAGATAAGGTTATACGATTTGAAAGTTTTCTTGTTGAAAAATATTTACGGTACTGGGTACTTTAAAGTGAATATTGTCATTAGGTTTGACGAATATCGCTTTTAATTCGCTAAAAACCCAAAATAGCGATTGGCCCCTAGTTTTGACAAGATTTGGTTTGTGCCTTTTCTGATAGTTGGTCTTTCTCAATGAATCACTCATCCGGCGAAGATTAAGACCTACACGCCGACGTTGCCGAGCCGTATAAACTTTACGGCAGTCGAGGGTCTCGAGAGGGTCTCTCCACTTATCATCAAACAAGGGAACAGGTGTTCCAAAAAATAGCCGATTTTATTGTGCTGGCCAGCTGAGCCAGCTGCCAATTCACCCTAAGATAAGCCCAAGATACAGGCTCAGGTGGCTGAACAGGTGCGGTTCCCACTAAAAATTAGTGTAGATAATAATAATAATTGAGGTAAGGGTTACTGTGCATTTTGCTGTTGACTAACAGGTATATTTTAAAACAATAAAAGTAGCCAATTGTCCTTAACATTAGTATCCAATAAATACATATCATATAGATACCAAGAACATGTTTACAGCACTATATATTTTTAAACAATACAAGTATCCAATTAGCTTTAAATGGGTCTGCAAAACCTCTGATGATTAGTAGGATCCATCAATTTATTTATTTTAATTATCAATTCTACTTTTACCACAATAATTTATGTGAATAAATGTTGCAAGGTATCTCCAAAAATTTGTCTCCAAATAGATCCTAAATAAATAGAAATCAAGGTAACTGTATAAAACAATGTTTGTTTTTAAACGCCTATAAAAAAATAATACATCTGTTTGTTAAACTAAGACCTAAGTGTTCTCAATAGATTAAATATTTAAGGTAACACCTGATTATAATAAAAGAATTAAAAATACAAGAATAACTTTTTGGGGAAGTCCAGTTCTGGGTATTTTGTGCTCAAAACCATTTAACGCCGAAATTGACCTTTAATATCTAATCGTTTTCAAACCACCTGTCGCTATGTGAGCCCTCGCACTAATCCCCGTGAAGATAAGACCCCTGGCATACCCATTAAGTCTGCTCGAACACGAAATCCGAACGATTTCAGAAGCTTATCGCCTGTGGGCGATAAGGGCGGGCGCAATAAGACCGAAAGAAAACCCAAAATGCGGGGAAATCTAATCGGTGGTCGGGCACTCCAGCCGATTTTCGATATAGCCTGCGCCACCATTTAATGTGTTAATGGTCGGTGGATTGCGTTGGGTTTGCTTCAGTTAGTGGCGTGCTGCCGGCGCGAACTGTTTTCACTCTCTATAAGAAAGAGAGTTCTCCAGACTGACTGTATTTTTTTGTAATTCTTTTCTGTGTGGTGCAGCAATGAAAGTGTTGTTGGTCTTTCTGTGGCTTATTGCCGGAGCTTGGTCGCAGAATGAAGAAGAGTTGGGATGCATTTGGTACGGCCAGAGCCACATGATAGGTGCCCACTGGCAGAATCTGGCGGATTCGAGACCCGCCAGACCTCTGAACAGCCCCACTGCGGAGGCTATTTTCGCCAGACGGTGTCCCTTGCTCTACAAGGAGTACAAGGGCGAAAGTGGGGAGGACGAGCTGAGCCTCTGCTGCGATGCGGGCCAAATTGAGACCATGGATACGGGACTTTCACAGGCAGACGGGGTCTTCTCCAGGTGTCCCACCTGTACGAGGAACATGGCCATGACCGTTTGTGCCATGACCTGTGCCAAGAACCACACTCTCTTCCTCACCGGCTACAATGCCTCGAATCCGGATGGCGTGGACTATGTGGAGTACATCGATTACAGGATATCGGATGACACGGTCTCGAGGATCTACGACAGCTGCGATGGTATACAGCACACGCAGACCGGACGGCCGGCCATGGATTTGGGCTGCGGGGGCTTCAATGCCAAGACCTGCAACTACCGCCGGTGGTACGAGTTCATGGGCGATGTCAGCGGGGACTATGTGCCCTTCCAGATCAACTACAAGTGGTCGGATGACGCCGAGGAGGGTTCCGAGGAGATCTACCTGGAGCTCAGTCCCCTGAAGTGCGGCCAGAGTTACGAGGACAGCTATGCGTGTGCCTGCATCGATTGCGAGGAGTCCTGCCCCCTGACCGATGCTCCGACGGGTCCCGAGGAGCTCTGGAAGATCGCCGGCCTGTATGGGGTCACCTTCATTCTGGCCCTGGTGATTGCCATCGTGGTCTCGGCCCTGATCCTCTGGGGTGCCGTTGGCAAGAGCTCGGCGCCCAGTGTCTGCATGCCCACGCTCTTCGGGGAGTTCTTCTACCACGGCTTCCGCATCTGGGGCACCTTCTGTGCCAAGCATCCCGTCCTGATCCTGGCCCTCTGCTCCTGGGCCATCGCCGGCCTGTCCTATGGCATCCGGTACATGAGCATCACCACGGATCCCGTCGAGCTGTGGGCCGGCGAGGAGAGTCAGACGAGGATCGAGAAGGACTACTTCGATCAGCACTTCGGGCCCTTCTACCGCACCAATCAGATGTTCATCAAGGCCACCAATCAGACCTATGTAAGCATAATCAAATGGGTCTTATTGTTAAACAGAGCACCTCCTGAAGTTAAAATGCTGGGAAAAATTATAGAAAGACCAATTTTAGCATTTTACCATTTTTTTTCGAAAAATGCTCTAAAATTTATTGTTTCAGATTTAAATGCCAATCGATTGGCAATTTAATTACGAGCTCAACGAGGTATCACGTTCCTTAATCTGACTTCATTTCGCAATTTGTCGACCAAAATACTGATTTTTTTTGTGCAAAAATAGGGAACCTTATTTTTTGACGAAAAATGCGTTATTTTTAGGCCGTTTTTATGTCGTAAATTAGTCAAATCGGGGCGCACAACAAAAAGACCGACTGTTATGAGCAGCTAACAAACAAGGCTATCGATCCATATCACAAATCGGGAAATTTATTTTTTGACCCATTTTCGAATTTTTTGTAAGGGGTTGTATCATCTATTTTTTTCGAAAATTTTTCAAAAATTAAAGTGTGAAGATTTAAATGCCAATCGATTGGGAATTTAATTACGAGCTCAACGAGGTATCACATTCCTTAATCTGACTTCATTTCGCAATTTGTCGACCAAAATACTGATTTTTTTTGTGCAAAAATAGGGAACCTTATTTTTTGACGAAAAATGCGTTATTTTTAGGCAGTTTTTATGTCGTAATTTAGTCAAATCGGGGCGCACAACAAAAAGACCGACTGTTATGAGCAGCTAACAACCAAGGCTATCGATCCATATCACAAATCGGGAAATTTATTTTTTGACCCATTTTCGAATTTTTTGTAAGGGGTTGTATCATCTATTTTTTTCGAAAATTTTTCAAAAATTAAAGTTTGAAGATTTAAATGCCAATCGATTGGGAATTTAATTACGAGCTCAACGAGGTATCACATTCCTTAATCTGACTTCATTTCGCAATTTGCCGACCAAAATACTGATTTTTTTGTGCAAAAATAGGGAACCTTTTTTTTTTGACGAAAAATGCGTTATTTTTAGGCAGTTTTTATGTCGTAAATTAGTCAAATCGGGGCGCACAACAAAAAGACCGACTGTTATGAGCAGCTAACAACCAAGGCTATCGATCCATATCACAAATCGGGAAATTTATTTTTTGACCCATTTTCGCATTTTTTGTAAGGGGTTGTATCATCTTTTTTTTCGAAAATTTTTCAAAAATTTAATTACTTCGACTTAAATGCCAATCGGTTTGAAATTTAATTACAAGCTCAACGAGGTATCACATTCGTTATTCTGACCTCCTATCGCAATTTGGCAACCGAAATAGTGATTTTTTTTTTGTGGAATAAAGGGGAGTATTATTTTTTGACGAAAAATACGTTATTTTTAAGCCGTTTTTCAGTCTTAATTTAGTCAAATCAAGGCGTATAACAAAAAGACCTTCTGTTATGAGCAGCTAACAGCCAAGGCTAGAAGTTAGTTTGTCATTTTATTTTTTACAAGGGCTGCATGTTTTTTTTCAAAAAATTTTCAAAAATTAAAAACCACATTTTTGGATTTACAGTTCACTCACGATGCTCCCAGTGGTCTGCTGAACTTTGGACCTGCCTTCGAGTACAACTTCCTGAAGGAAGTCTTCGAGCTGCAGGAGTCCATTATGAAATTGGGCATGGAGGATAACGAGGGCCTCGATAAGATCTGCTATGCCCCCGTTCAGATGGTTGGCGAAACGACAACGATCGACAACTGCGCTATTCAGTCGATCTATGGGTATTTCCAGCACGATATGGATAAATTTGAGAACTCCTATATCGATAGCAACAACTACACCATCAACTATCTCAACCAATTGGAAGATTGTCTTCGGTATGTCTAATGAAATAGGGTAATTTTTAAGATTCCTCTAACAATCAATGTCATTTCTTGTAGCGTCCCCATGATGGAGGATTGCTTTGGAACGTATGGTGGACCCGTTGAGCCTGCCATCGCTGTGGGTGGCATGCCCAAGGTCGCGGTGGGTGAAGATCCCGACTACATGCTGGCCACTGGCCTTGTGATCACCTTCCTAGGACGCAACCAAGTCGACGAGAGCAAACTGGAGCCCAATTTGAAGTGGGAGAAGCTGTTTGTGGACTTTTTGCGGGACTTCAAGAGCGATCGATTGGATATAGCTTATTCGGCCGAAAGATCCATCCAGGATGCGATTGTAGAGTTGTCCGAGGGTGAAGTGAGCACAGTGGTCATCAGCTATGTGGTTATGTTCGTTTACGTGGCCATAGCTTTGGGCCGCATTCGCAGCTGTCGGGGTTTCCTGCGGGAATCTCGAATAATGCTCGCCATCGGGGGTATTGTCATTGTGTTGGCCTCGGTAACCTGTAGTCTGGGATTTTGGGGTTACCTGGATGTGACAACCACAATGCTGGCCATCGAAGTGATACCGTTCTTGGTGCTCGCCGTGGGCGTGGATAATATCTTCATAATGGTCCATACATATCATAGATTGGATCACTCGAAATTTAAGACTACGCACGAGGCAATTGGAGAGGCCATTGGCCAAGTGGGCCCTTCGATCCTTCAGACGGCGGGCAGTGAGATGGCCTGCTTTGCCATTGGGTGTATATCCGATATGCCGGCTGTAAAGACCTTTGCAATGTACGCCGCCATTGCCATACTCCTGGACTTCCTGCTCCAGATCACAGCTTTTGTCGCATTGATGGCTATAGACGAAAGGCGTTATTTGGACGGAAGACTGGATATGTTGTGCTGTGTGAGGAGTGGAGGAAAGAGGATGAAAAGTGATGAGGCGGTCGAGGGCGTGGAAAGAAGACCCAAGGAGGTCGGCTTGCTGGAGTCCACGTTCAAGAACTTCTATTCGCCCTTCCTGCTGTCCAAGTAAGTAATCATATGTTCGAGAAGTAAGATCTAAGCATATCATGGATTTTTACCAATATCCCCATTTACTTACTACCCACTTTTATTACTCTAAATTTTTTAGAGTGTTTGTAAAAAATATTTTCCATGCAAACATGGATAATATTATATCTAGACTTTACCAACACCCGCTTTTATATACTCCCCGCCTTTGTTCCCATTTTAGACCCGTGAAAGTGTCCGTGCTACTGATCTTCACCGTGATCACTTGCCTCTCGCTGATGGTGACGCCCTCCATTGAGAAGGGCCTCGATCAGGAGATGTCTATGCCAAAAAACTCCCATGTGGTGAAGTATTTCCGCTACATGGTCGACCTGCTGGCAATGGGAGCTCCGGTCTACTGGGTCCTCAAGCCCGGCCTCAATTACTCGGAACCGCTGCAGCAGAATCTCATCTGCGGTGGTGTCGAGTGCAACAATAACTCACTGTCCGTCCAGCTCTACACACAATCCCGATATCCGGAAATCACGGCACTGGCCCGACCCGCAGCCTCCTGGCTGGACGACTATATCGATTGGCTGGCCATCAGCGATTGCTGCAAGTACAACGTCACCACCGGTGGATTCTGTTCCAGCAGTAAGTAAATTTCCTAAGGTTGCGGATTATTTTACTATTTACTTATTTGTAGCAAGTTTATAGCAATACTGTATTTAAATAATTTTTTTAGACTCAAAGAGCGAAGATTGCCTACCCTGTGAACGGGGATTCACTGAAAATGGCCTAAGACCTGATGCCGAGACCTTTAACAAGTATATACCATACTTCCTGTTCGATCTGCCAGACGCTGAGTGCGCCAAGGCTGGAAGAGCCTCCTATGCTGATGTGAGTAGAGTTTCGACTATACCATTTATAAAATATTTTATCTACCCTGAACCAATAACCAACTTATAAAAAAGTATTACAATGTTAAATCCTTATTTGCAAAGACTCGTACTCAAGTGATTTAAATCCCTTTGTTCATTCAGGCCGTTATCTACACCATCGACGATGAGGGAATGTCCACTGTACTGGACACCTACTTCATGCAATATTCCACCACATCGACCACCTCGGAAGAATTCTACTCGCAGCTGCGGGAAGTGCGAAGAATTGCAAAAGAGATAAACTCGATGTTCAAGGAGAATGGTGTGGATGCGGAGATATTCGCATACTGTGTCTTCTACATTTATTACGAACAGTATCTGACGATCTGGGAGGATGCCATGTTTTCGCTGGGAATGTCCTTGGTGGCCATTTTCTTGGTCACTCTATTGATAACTGGATTGGACATTACCTCCACGTTTATCGTACTCTTCATGGTCATTTGCATATTGATCAATATGCTGGGAATGATGTGGGCGTGGAGCATTAATCTGAATGCCATATCCCTGGTGAATCTGGTGGTTTGCGTGGGCATTGGAGTGGAGTTCGTGGCCCACATTGTGAGGTCCTTTAAACGGGCGGAGGGCACTGCCCAGGAGCGGGCTCGTCACTCCCTAAATGTGACAGGAAGCAGTGTCCTTTCGGGCATAACCCTCACCAAATTCGCGGGCATCATTGTCCTGGGCTTCTCCAACTCGCAGATCTTCCAGGTCTTCTACTTCCGAATGTATCTGGGCATTGTCCTCATCGGAGCTGCTCACGGCCTGATCCTGCTGCCGGTTCTCCTCAGTCTCCTGGGACCGCTTGACAAATTAGCCAGGAGGCCAAGTTCCGAGCCCATTAGACCCACCACCATCTCCGCCAACTGAAAGGGATCACGTATCTATGTCCCCCATAAAAAACATATAATATATCTTAGTCTGTAGAGTGTGCCTGCTTGTGTGTTTGCCTGAAATCTTGTGTGTGTCTGACTAAAACGCTCTGATTTTTTCCACTAACAATGAGCCTTCAATGTCAAAATGGTCGAACAAAATCGATAAGGACAACTAAAACTTGAATAAAATAATTTATGCCAACCTAAAAAAAATGGAGTATTCAAAATTCAAAATTGATAAACATAGTATATAATATTTTCTACCTTGATTCAAAACTTTTCCTACTATGTGGCTTAAGTGAGTCTTCTTCGGAGGTAATAATCTGGATTTTATTGTATAAATATATAACTAACTTATATTTATGATGGCTTGGGCATTGAAGCTAACCCATTTTCGGTGCCCCCCTGTGGAGCCCATATCTTTATGGCATGCTCCTCCTCCGCGCTGGCCAACACCGGCAACCATGGATGTGGTTCCAAGGCATGGATCCAACTAATCGGCTTGGAACTTGTTTGCTTGATCATGGCCTCAGTGTTTCGATCCCAGATAATAATATACAGGCCGAAGTTAGTGGTCATTACAAACTCGGATTTGGGACCGAAAAACTGCGAAAAACCAGCGGATTGGTTCCTATATAGGGAAAAGAGAAGGTAAATGACAAGGTTCACCCAGTAATTTTGTGATGTATCCTACACATACCAGCGCCCCTCGTATCTGTGTAAATAATCGGCATTCCAGTCGCGGCTGTTGAACAAATAGATATCGGCATGGCTGTAACCGACCAGGATCTCACTACCGCTATGATTATACGCGACGGAGCACATCCAAGTAAATGGGGTCTGAAAAAGACACGAGAATAGGGATTATGTGAGTTTTGTAGACCCTATTTTCAGGGGTTATTATTATTCACTCACATCCTCTGCACGGAAGGGGCTCTTCTGCGCCAGGAAGGTCGATGTATTCCGCTTGTCGTAGACTCGCAGTACGTCGTCCGATCCGGCGATGCAGATTTCGGGGGCGTACGGGTGATGGGCGATGCTGAATATCGGCATGTGGCGCTGCTCCGTTTCATCGCCGTAGCGCAGCAGAGTGGTGGACACATGGGTGCGAATATCGAAGTGCTTCAGGTGCGAGCCGCAGGTCATCACCTCGAAGCGACTGCGCGGCACCACGATGAGCTCTTCCACGCTGTCGTGGGTGTACAAGAGCTCCGACTTGACGGCTCCCCCCGAGGGCGGGATGAGGGACCTGTGCACCTGGCTTCCTTCGCTGGCGCACACGATGTCCAGGCCGGCGCTGCTGTCCAGGAACTTGATCCCCTTAATAGTCCCATAGGGGCCGGGAATGTGGCGGTGCAGGCGCTTCTGGTTGGCCCAGTCCCAGACGACTATTTCTCCTTGATGGCAGCCGGAGCACAGCAAATCGCCCACCCGGTTGAAGTTCAGGGATGTGCCCCTCTTATCGTGGCGGAACTGCTCCGTCAACTGCTCCACGGCCTGGCGCGATCCATAAAATGCCTGGTTAAAGCCCTCTGCCGAAGTGTGGGCTCCACGCCACCCGATCCTGTTGGTTAGGTTCAGCTCCCTGTGGTACATCTCTCGGTTTATGTCCCATGAGTACTCTTTCTTCTTTATCTCAGCCTGCACGTTCGTGAGCATTAGTAAGGATTAATTAAAAGCTGAGCTTATTACTACAAAGTGAATACATTATAAGGACAGTCAAATTAACATCGACTTCGTTCCACTTATCAACCGCGAATTCTTCGGAACAAGAGAAGACAACATATATCACTCTTGAATTTCTGTAGATAACTAATGAAGCAACATGACAATAACGATTTTATATTACACTAAGGGACCGTTGTGTGAATGGTTCATCTAAATTACTCAAACGTTAATTATGAATTTATTTTATTTAAGAGTTGACTTAAATTAAAACCTGGTGGCTTATTTTAAAGGCTTCTACTATTCTACCTGCTAAAGCTTGTTACACAACTCACCGAGAGTACCACATTACCACTCGAGGTCCCGGGCTGGTCTTCCAGGCTTATTTCACCATTAATTTCTTCCATAATCACTATTTTCGTTTTTGACTTCGACTTGACTCCCAAAATAATAAAATAAGAAAAAGCAACACCAACTGTATTACAAATGACAACTCTTCCAGGAACTACTAGTGTGACCATTTAAGGGAAACCAAGAAAACGGCAGATTGGTGAAAGACAAGGAAAAACGAGATGCCACCTTCCTTAATTAAGCACCATGACAACTCTGTATTGATTTAGTAACGCCAGAGAATCAGAAGAGAATAATTGGTTCATGATGGATCCGCGATCAAGTTTGCTTTTATACACGCTTATGACTCATTGCGAAGTTGAACAAGTGAAATATTCTACATTAAGAACTAAACAATTTGAACACAATTGAATACAATATCAAATATTTTATTTTAATTGGCCCTAGCGAACATTTTTGAGTCACTTTATAGGTAAATTCCTTTATATTTGATACGCCGTTTTGGTTTTCTCAAAGTCTTGGTATGCTCATCTCATAGTAAGGGGTAATAAGTCTCTGGTTCCGATTGGAGCATCACAGCAGATAGTAACTCAGCGGTTACCGTGATTAATAAAGATAATTTTTCTTTTCGCTTTTAAGCCGTACGTTTGCCCCAAGACAATTGTCGGTGGGAGGTTGAGCCCTTTGCCTTTCGCCCATTGTTTATCGTCGTCGCACCTTTGCTTTTTATGGCTTAAAGCGACCAACTGCCGCGTGCGGCGTTAAAACAATAAACAAAAAGTCGCACAAACCAACGATTTCCGGACTCCACGGCTTATGGCCAACCCCTGTTTATCCTGACTCCTGGTATCATGGTCTCTGGACTCTTGGAATACACAAAACGTCTTACGCCTTTTGGGCAGAAGTTTAGTTCAGATTTTGTAATGGTATTTCCTGGCCCGTTGGGAAATCCTAAATGCCCTAACCCAATGAATTGATGATTGTTGAGTATTTCGGTGGGTCCTCACATTTTTATTGAATTTCAAGTAGAAATAATATTTCGGAATATTAATTTTAAGTTTTGATCGTACTTAATTTCGAGTGTAGGTAAAAAAGGATTGATCTTGACCTTAAAACATCATTTTACCTTTTTTTTTTTATTTTTTAATTGTCAAGAGCAACAAGGGAGATTAAATGTGGATGTTTGAATTAAGTTTTATGCAGAAATGATATTAAAATATAATAAAATATTTAAGGTATAATATAAATAATAATTAATTAATGGAAAAAATAGGGTTGTTTTACTTGCCTCTGACGATTGAACAGTATAAATAAAGGTATAATTTTTAAAATAATTTTACAATTTATTTATTTTTTATTTCAAGGAGTCCTACGGGTAAAGAAATTATGCCGTTCGTCAGGACTCTAAATGGGCAAAAGGAGTAAGTTTGCCTGATGACGGCTTCCTTGCTTTTAACTGCTCTCGCCGCCTGCTGGCCAAGTCGAGTGTTCTGCGGCTTATGGAAACCAGACACACACAGAGAAAAGCTGGAAGAAAAGCGTTTAACCCTCAAAATGAGTCGAGTGTTTTTAATTAAAATTAATAAAGTTTAGAGTGGTTTTTCCGCATGCACCGTGGTCAGTAAAACCAAGCAATTTGGGGTGGGCGCTACTCCGGCTTTTCCCACTTTTCCCACTTTTCCCGTTTTCTCCCTCAATCATAATCACCTAATGAGAAATGTGTGCGGCATTAAGATTCATGCCTCATCGAGTCTCCGGCACTTCAAAAGGCCGACAATTGAAAGGCATAATTATAAATGTATCAACTAATGCATATGGCAAAATCAATTAGCAATTACCAGCACACCCACATCAACAGATGAAGTGCAAATTGAGTTGTCCGCAGATGTATATATGTTTGCACTCGTATTTACGCATATTTCCGTGACTGTACATGTGCGTGTGCGGGTCAGAATGTTTTTCATCCTCCACTTAATTGCCATTCAAAGTGCTTTAACAATGCCAAGTGCTAATGCCAAAAATGAACCCAATGAGCTGGAACATCTCGGCCAGAAAATCCAGAAAATAAACACGTGAACGGCTCCCATCGAATGCCCAAATAATCTTTGAGTATTTTTTAGATTTTAGATGCGAAAAGCTGGACAAGTGCGGTTGATTTCGTAAATTGTGAATTTATAGTGTAATCCGCAGTGTGAAGAGTTTATGATTTCTGAATGGAAAATATGGATAATAAATTATGTAAACTGAATGATCAGGGTTATTTCTCTTTTCACTATTATATAATTGCTTTAAGTTTGTAAAGTGCATTCGTAATTGGCAGGTCTTGCGATTATTTTTTTTCACTTATAATTTTTGAATGCCTAAATATTTGTAATTAAATATTACCAATACAATTTTAATTTTTGTAAGGCTTTGAACAACTGATATAGTCTTAACTTGATACATTTATAAAATATATATTAGAAATTAGATTTAGAAATTAAATTAAATATTTTAAAAAGTAAGTTTTTTATTATTGCAAAATATTTAATATTTTTTATTTTACTATAGAATATTTGAAAAAGATAGACACAAATGTTATATATTTTGAACGAGAAAAGCACTTCCCTATGTTAGAAAATATAATATTCCACTGTATATATTTATAAATATTGTACTTCATAATCCATAGGGCTCTTTATGGGCAATGTTTCCATTTCCGAAATTTTCAATGGCATCTTCCTGGCCCACCAGTTATGATCGCCCTCGAGCACTCGAGACTGAAAAAAAGAAAAGCACACATAAACAGCATGCAAATGAATAATCCATTAGGAGCATCTTTGCAGACTCACATAAATCATCCGCCGTGTGAGCAGACAACACATTTCGCACAGAAATTTAGGCGCATCAACGAATTAATGTGGCAAGTGTGGCAATAAAAATTTAAATTAATTGATTTCGCGCTGGCCGCGCGGCATGTGCAATAGCCCCGAAACATACAAAAACGAAACAGAACAGATCTTTGCTATTTTCGCACGATTTGTGGCCAATTTAGGCGGCTTGCCATAGGTCATAAAAGGCCAAAAGGCTGAACAGGACTCTTAACCAGGTCATAACTCACGGCTGCCGACGAGGAAGGCATTAAAATAAAATTTGCGCATATTTATTAATCGGTTATTGGATGCGTGGATGGCCGGAAAAGCGTATTTATCTGTATCTCCGTATCTGTATCTGCAATCTGGCCATAAAGGCGGCGGCCAAACAAAAACCCGATTTCCAAAAGGGAAACTCACTTGGCTGCCCTTGGGGATTGCCTTTCATTTTCAGTATTTTTTTGTGGCACTTTGAATAATGCGTTTTTTAATTAGTTGGGGAATTTCGGGATTCGTTCGAGAGTGAAACGGAAATTGGAATGAGATAAGTAGAGGGGGATTAATTTTAATGAAATTACAGTACACCATGTTAAAGCAAAGCCTTTCAAATGATTCATACATTAAAATGTCATCTTTTAAGTGTAAAGTTTCCAATGGATCTTGAAAATACCAAAGAAATACCATTCCATTTAAATGGATCTTAAAAAATTTCAGAAGAATACCATTACTATACAATATCTCAAATATATTTGTAAGCCCAATTCAATTTCCAGACTTCCACTTGGGTTTTTTTAAATCGTGTTCATCCTTTGATTTAATAATTCCCCATTTTTGAACTCATTTTGGGGCAGAACTTTTCAATTATTTTCCAATTAGCAGTTGAATGTGCTTTGGATTATACACATTTGGGCATTTCTATGCATATATACATACATTTTTTCCCGGCTTAATTAATGCAATCAACCAAAGGGGCAAAGTCAGTTGTTGCATTAGGGTCAAATGACAGGGCCTAAGCCGGACTAAGCCGGAGTTTCTGGCCGGGATTGCCATTGCTGCTGCTGCTGCTAGCCGTCCAAAATTGGTTTTTAATACAAATTAATTACGAAAGAGGAAATTCAATTTTTAGGAGTTCACAATCTGCCAAAACCAAACGCGAAAAAAAGTTAATTAAAGCAGAGAGAGCGCATACACACACACGGCCACATTTTCAATGATGGAGATGGAATATTTAATTTATTCATTCGCTGACATAAGCCCGGGTCCGGCTTTTGGACTGCGGACTCTGGACTAGGGGACTCTGGACTATGGCTAACCTAGTCCATAGACGAATCAGTAATTTATAAACGTGCTTATAAGCCGCAATCCAATTCGCAATTCGCGTTTTGGCTAAAATTACACTTGCAGCAGGCCAAAAACCCATTTTCAACAGTTTTCCCTCCCCTCAGTATCACCCCTCTGCATTTTAGCCATTTAGCTCGTTTTTCACTAGCCTGAAATGTTATCAACACTGACAAAACTCAAAACTGGCCAACTGGCCATGGCCATGGCCGTGGAATTGGCCCAGAGAGGGGGCACTTTCCCAGTCTAAAAAATAAAAAGGGGCTCTGGCCAAAACTGAGAGCCAAAACTGCAAACTGAAACTGAAGCCAAGCGAAAGCGCGTAAACGAATGAGCTTGGTTTCCATTTTTTGTTTCGCAACTAGTTCTGTTATTATTTTTCCTCTGAAATTAAATTGAAAATTCCCACAATTTTAACCCTTATCAGCAGGCTGATTAAAAAAACCCATTAAATGGCAGTGTTGGAAAATTTCGGAATAAAATCATGTAAGGCCTGGGAGTACAGTTATAACAAAAAATAGATTTCTTAAATAGCATATGTATGCTGGTAAATATAAGTTAAATAGAGCCAGCCAAAAGAAAACAATGCACTTAAAAAATAACAAATGAAAAATATTATTAATTTTAAATGTATAATGTTTGATAAGAATTAAGGCAGCACACTTACAAAGTAGTCAAAAAATTATGTGGAAATGGAATACTTAAAAACAAATATAATATTATTTAGTTCCAGATGCACTAACCTAAATGAATTAAATTTTCAGGCAGCCTGGCAAATGCAGAATATTTTAAGGGGAATTTTCACCCCCACCGACGAAAACTTGTGGTAAATGTTTGCCGGATTTTCTTGTGGCCGGCAGTCGAGTGACAGGCCAATAACAGAAATCAAACAAATTACTGCAGATTAAATCCGAGTTGAGATGACACCGC